AAGTCATAAGTCACAAGTTTCTGATGTTCTGTCTAATCTTTCTCTCTCTCTCAGCATTCTGATTCTCTGGAGGCAAGTGTCATGGAAATGCTTTCAGATAGATCAAAATGCATGCATTCCTCAGTCTCCACTGACCCTGTTATTCAGAGTCAATATCTATAAAGTTGGCAGGTGCCGTATCCAAAACATGGATTTTTCTTCTCCAAGTATTGTGATTACTGATGCTTTGGACTTTTCTAAGGTTATCCTTGAAAAAGTATTACCTGAATCTAGTATTACCGACATCAATGATAATAGGGAACGCATTTATTAAACACCACTGAGCACTTACTCTTCTAAAAGCTTTTTTGGTAAACAAAACAAAACGAAACAAAAAAACTTTTACAATCCCCTCCACAACTCTAGGAGGTCAGTTCTCCTACCACCCCTGCTTTATAAATGAGGAAAATGGGGCTCAGAGAGGAGAAATAATTTCCTAAGATTTCATACACAGTAAATAGCAGAGTAAGGGGTCACCATGTAGGTCTTTGCTTAAAGACAGCTCCATAAACCACAGAACACGCTGCCTCCCATGAGCAGGAAATGGCAGATACACAAGATTTTTAACCTGTATGTAACCTTCATGAGGCTAATGAAAATTATACACAAACATTTGTGTGTATATGTGCTTGTGGCTATGAGTGCATTTTTCTGAGCAGAGATACCATTGCTTTCGTTCGGTTCTCAGAATGGTCCATGGCTCCATGAAAAATGGTTTAAGAACAGTACCATTGTCCCTTGAACAAGACAGGGGTTGGGGACACCAACCCTCCAAGCAGTCAACAATCTACATATGACTTATAGTTGGCCCCCTGTATACAGTGTTCCTTGGTCCCCATCCTCTGATTTAACCAACCACAGATCATGTAGTACTGTGGTATTTGCTACTGAAAAAAATCCGTGTATAAGCGGACCTGTGCAGTTCAAGGGTCAACTGTTTAGGGAAAAACAGCCTTGTCTTTGAGATCTAGCAACCCATGGTTTAAATCCTGGCTTGGTCACCCAGCAGAAAATTGAACTTTATTAAGTCATTAACAGCTTTAATTTTCCTGCATTACATGGGGAATAACAATGCCAACTAACTAAGATTATTATGAGAACCTAATACAATAACACACACCCAGCGCCTAGAAGACTGGCTGGTATATACAGCAAGTAAGTACAGGTCCCTGCTCCTTCTGGAAGCCTGTAGGCAAACAGGATGTTCCCCATCAATCAAGACAAATAGCAATGTCTTCACCTGCCTCATTTCCCAGGGTCTTGGTGATCTTTCCTAAATGTTTCCAGCCAGGAGCAGCAACTGTGAATGCAGCTCAGAGGCACAATTCTGCCATCTGGTAGACCCAGTTCTCCCCTTTACACTCAAGATTTCTCCAGATCCAAGTGGGTCTTTTAGTCCTGATAAACATTTCTCTTGGTAGAAGATCAATTAAGAAAGAAATCAACAAAACAATAAACAAAACAAAGAAAAAGGAAGGAAGGAAGGAAGGAAAAGAAAGACTTTTGTTTTTTAGAAATCTGTCTGTGATCAGAAATGTCCCATCTCCAGGACTTATGTTGCCTTTTCCTGGGAAATAAATGCAAGGAAACAAGAGCAGCTGTGTTATAATCTTGGCGAGAATAAGGAAGCTGGAGTCAGGCAATCAGTGTCTACCTTGGTTGCAGTTAACTACATGACCTTGGGCAAATAATTTTCCCTGTTGGGGCCTCAGTTATTTTATCTGAAATCCCCTCCACCTTAAACACTCTGTGCCCTTTTTTTTTAACATTCAAGATAAAAGACCATATTCTTTGTCCCGTGATTTGTGACACCTTTGTTGGTGAGTTTACCAGCAAGTGATTACTCGTCTAGCTATTTGATCTCTAGGGTACAGCCTCCTTACTGGGATGAGAGATACTGAAATTTCCCAGCCCAATGCTAAATCTTGTATTATGGTCTTCACACACCAGGTGCCAACTGACAGGTATCAAGACAAAGAAGCTCAAAGCTGATTCATCACTCTCTCATGGTCCCTTGACGCCTGCAGGCATCTCCACCCTTGGTCACTCCTGGCTCTCAGGCCTCCTGGAGGACCCCGACATTATGGTCATGGGTCACCTCCCCCAGCTTGGGTTTGCTTTCTGTCCTCTCTTTGTCTTGGGCTAAAACATCCTTTCTTAGACTCCAGCTTTACTCCTGCGCATCTAAGACTGCCCAGGGGACATCCATCCATTCTCAAAAATGACTTTTCTGAATTTCCTCTGTTGGAAGTTGGTGGAAACTTTACACACAAAATGAATGTCTGAAGCAAATCTAAGCCACACAAATTTAAGGTTCTCTTTAAAGTCTAATATTCTAGATCCCAGGCGAGCCAGAGCCACATAACAACAGTGATCTTAGCTCAGACCCAAAAGGAGTCGCTATTACCATGAATGACTTGATCAATATTATCTGAGCTATTTTTCCAACTTTTATTGCATTCCTAGTCTTCTCTTGCCTAAGTCTACGGAGACAGAAGTTAAGTCACACAGTGGACTGTGACGGGGATGCAATAAACAGAAATAAAAGACAATCCTCAAGGCATTTTCCTCTGTCTCAAAGGTGTCATCGCACTTTAAGCTTGAAAATGGGCAAATCTGATGAAAGGACTTAGCAACGACCAAGCTCTGAAGTCACAGAAAACACACACACACGCTAAACCCAGAAGACTTTAAAGAAGTTGTTCATCAGCTACAACTTGCCCAACATATTCACACACACGCACACACACCTAAACACATGATATACGCACCTTTCTTTATTTTTCTACTCCCACCTTAGGAAAACTTCCATATCATGATGCTAAGTACCAGCTTAAATCAGGGCATCTTTTATTTGAGCAAGGATGCTGTAATATATATTGAATGAATACAGATACTGAAACCTGTAACCAGCCAATGGTATCCCTTAGACACCTACTGATTTGAAAATGCCACTACCAAAGTCCTCAATGTGGACGCTGGGTCTCAATTTGGGAGTGGCCCTGTGCCCTGGGTCTGTACCCAGCACGGTTGCTTTTCTCTTTGTTTTAAACTCCTAGTCTGACTCTAGCGTATTGGAAAGGACAGATGCTAAAAGAAGAGAAAGTAGACTTTGTGAACTTGGAGAGAAGAGTGAGAGAACCTCAGGAGGAGGCAGGATTTAGAAATGGAGTCCGTAAATTTTTAATGCACACCAGGAAGCCTGCTAGAAGCTTGGAACCCCAAGAGAGGAAACTCAGACCTCTCTGATGATCTGGAAAGACGCAACTAAGGAGAACAAGGATCAAACATAAGAGTGACAGAAGCTAGAAGTGCAGGCTGTTGCCTCGGAGCTTATGTCACCATCAGAAACCGCCTGGGTGAACTGTGCCACGTCCCTCACAGAAACTTCGTGCTCTCCTTCCTAGAAAGACTAAGTATATTATTGCCAACTCTGACGCAACTGACCAGGGGTAGAGTCAACATTAAGATTTCCAAGACTTTTTGTGTTCTCTATCATCCATGTTTTCTATCAAGACCTTTCTATGAGGGTCCCTGAATGCCATCCTGAAAGTATTTTGATGTCAGTCAGGAGGCAACAGGGAGCCACTAACATTTTTTGAGCAAATAGACTGATACGGTATCATCTATGAGTCATCTCATTTCAACTAATTAATGGGGTTTGTTTTCATCCCATGAGAAGTATACTGTGGTTAATCTTCTCAAATCCTTTTTAGAAAGAAGGACAAAAATAAACGTATAAGGAATAAAATAAAGATAAAAAAACCCCATAAATACATAGAGTATGTGTCCAGTAAAACCAAACCAAACCAAACCAGAGAACAGAAACCATGAGTCATACAAATCACAGCCAACCAGATTTCCAAGTAATTTTTCCTTACAAAAGTTCTTGATAAATGGCCAATAAATGTTAAGTGGGATAGTCTTTTGTAGTTAATTTCTCTTACCCTCTAGTTACACTCTTTTAAGTAATTTCACCATCCAATTCATAATTGTAGCATTTAGGGCTGTATACATAATAATTTTTTTTCTTATAGCAGGAGAACAGAGTACAAAGATCTTGTTTCAGACAGCCAAGTGATTTATAGTCAGACCTACTAGATAATTCTGAAAACATAATTCAGATCCCCTGAGCTTTCTGCTTTTTTCAAAGTTAACAGTTAGTATGGAAAGGAACATTAGATTTGATTGAAAAATAGCACACACATTATCAAAAAGTCACACTCAATTGACTTTGCTAGGTACCAAAATTTACATTTTTTTTTCTGCAGTGCTAATAATTCAGCATTCCATTAACACTACATTTTTTAAAATACCCTGTGTTTTGGGTTTCATCTTTCCTGCCTTTGTTGAAAACTCCCTCTCAGCCTACTGATTTCTGACAACCTGTTGAAAGGTAATGATAACACAGATTTTCCTCTGAGCCATATTATAACACTGCTTCCTGACAGCCCTGTCTTGGGCTAAACAAATTATTTGCACCCTGCCTGATTTGTTTCCATGTTTGTAATTCAACTACAATTTGTTCCTTCCCATGGCTAAATGAAAACATGGTCATCAGATGCAGTCCTTCCTGTTGGAGCATCATAAATAATACGTTTCTGGAGTGCAACACGTAAATATTTTATTAACCACGATATAGGTTTTAGGAAATGGCAGAATGAAAGTGGTAGAGAAAATATTTCCTATAGATTCATTTTCACAGTATTTAGAGGCCATTTTATGGCTTGGTGCATTCATTAGGCTCTTTAAGAAATAATTTATCATCTAAAGAAACATAATAATGTAAAAATATGTGCTTCTGAATTCCTTGACATATCAGGTTTAAATTTTCTTCCTAGTTGAGTTGTGATGTAATATATCATCACGTATTCCCAGGCCTGATTTCAATTCATTCACTGCTTTTTTTAAATTTTATTTTATTTTATTTTGCTTTGTTTTTGTCTACATAGCATCCTTACCTCCTGGGCAAATGAAGAGACACTGTAGAATGATGAAGTTTATACTGAAGATAAATTCTTCTCACTTCTGCTGGGCCAGTCACCTGAAACTGTGAAAGAGAGAGAAAAAATAGGTGGAGATTTGGGAGAGAGGTGATGGCAATGAAGAGCAATACTATAAACATAATTCTTCCTTTCTCCAAGTTAAAAGAATTTTGCTTAAAACTACATTCCCTCTGGCCTGAAAACCTATTTCCCATGTCCTGTACTTTCTGTTCCGTAGGTGTCCTGAAAATAATTGGATATTTAAAGAACCTCAAAAAAATTGCCGATCACAGAACCAACTGCCTCTTGGTACTTTCCCTCTGAGACTCTTATTAATTTTTAATCAGCTCGCTGCTGTTTCGGGTCTTCAGGACTCCTGTAAGTAAAGGAAAATGCCATGTGGGTGGCAGAGGAGGAGAGGGTAAATAAATGTGGAGGGAAACGGGCTCTCCGGAAAGCAGACAAAGGCCTTTGCGGCTTCAGCCGACGTGGCGTTAAAGCAGAACCCGAGAAAACCACTCTGTCGGCTGGATCAAATGTGGGAACTAGGATCCCATCTCTCCAGCTGCTGGACTGGCGCAGATCACATGCATCCCTTGGCCTTCATTCCATAGATGAGCGCCCCTTCTGGGCTTTCGCTCTAAGGACGGCTTAAAGGCCTGAATCTCTAGGAATCGTTCTTCTAATTTTTCTGCTTTTTCTAATAGATGCTTAAATCCTACCTTTGTCTCTAACCTCTCTCTTTCTTTCTCTCATTCTCTCTCCTCTTTCTCTCTCTCTTTCCTTTTCCCCTCCCTCCAGCGTTTTGGGGCTAATTTCACACACGATTTTCTGTTTGGGCCATCTGTAAGTCCAGTCTATGACAACGAATTTGTTTTAATTTCTATCATGATTAACAATAACCTCAAATAAAGTGGTTCAAACAGAGTAATAACTAAATACTTTCTCCTACCACCCAATGGATTTACTAATTTTCAAAGGGATAGTGGGTGTCTGACAACAAAATGATTGTGAAATGTTTTCAGAAGTCTAGAACTATTCAATCCATTGTCCTAGAGGACTGTGGAAATACAAACAAATGTAATTATTTTCTAATTTTGTGAGCCAGAGTCTTCAAATATGGGGTGAGGAAATCAAATGGCTATTTTGTGTCCAGCATTTAAATTCCTATCCTTTTCCTAAGCTAACTGCTGAACCTATAAAGGCAAAATTCCATGGTCTGTTTTTCTATTAACCTAGCTTGTTAAAGCTTCCACCACTTCTGGGAAATAATCACTACAACAACAAAAAGAAAACAAAACAGTGCCATTATAACCCTCAAAGCGAGGGAATAAAAATTGCCCCTCATCCATGACTCAAACGGAAGAATTAGCTGTTTTGAATACAATTAAGGCGCCAGTTCATTGGCTTGTTTGCTCTCAGACCCATTTCCTGCTCTTTCCTTGCTCTGCATCACCAGAGGGCACATTTCTGAAAACTACTGAGGTCTCAGAAGAGTCGGTAGGAATCCCTGGAGGCTGACTGGCGAGAGGGCAACGAGGTGAACGGGGGCGGGGGGGGGGGGGTACCCTCTCCTTGCTTTGGGCAGTGTCTCTAGAAGGGGATGGGCTTTCTCTGTGGCTCCAGCACCTTCCCTCCCAGCCCTCAGTGCCTCCCTCCCTGGGCTCAGTTCCTGTCTGCCAGAGTTCCTGTGATTCTAGCTTCCAGTGTGTTGTCCAGAGTCCTGCTCTGGGAATCCAGTTTTATCTCCAGCCCTTGAGACAGGAGTGGGCTCCTAGAATTCTTTATTTCATTTCTTCACCTTCCCTATTGTTCTTTTTATCTCTTCTAGCATCTTTGTTACTAATTCCCTGCATTCATGTTTCTCTGTTTAATTCATTTGGCATGGTTTTTATTTTCTTGGGTGGACCTTTATTGAATTGCTAAGTTAAATTCTTTTGTCTCTGCATGGAAGAAGGCAAAAACGTTTCCAAATTTTTCTGACTCCCTAGCCTTAGAAAAGATTGATCGCCCTTAATATGCAGTGTAGCATTGAAAAACTGTAGCCACACAATGACGTACTCTGATATAAATAAATACATGGAACCCTAGGGGCACAGGACTAAGTCTTTGCTTGTCTCCTTTCTCTAGCGTGTTTGGAGACAATCGTGAAAACAACCTTTCCACGGAGGCAGGGAGGGGTGGTTGGTAGGTAATAGAGAAGAAAGGATGTGTTTTGCTTGCAAGTTTGCAATGTTTCTGCAGATGGTCAGAGTGCACCCTCAGGCCTTCTAACTGGTGAGCTCTTTCTTGTCCTACAAAGTTCAGCTCAGATACTACAGTCTCGGACAGACACCACTAGCGGCTCACAAACATTCACTTTTTTCCCCTTCCTGGTGGTCCACACAGCTGTCTTACGCTTCTCGACCTCCCGTGTTAGTGGGTGTAGCCATGTGCTCGGTTTTAGTCGTGGAACACAAGCAGAGTGCTATTACCATCTGGACATGGCGAGTAGACATCTCTGGAGCTGGCTTGTCCACGCTCCCCCATCCTTCTGCCCGCTGGCTAGGAGAAACGTTTGATGAGCTGGGGAGCTAACCCTTAAAGGCGGCAGAGCTGCTGTCAGCCTGGATCTCCGACAGCCTCCATGGTGGAGAGTCAATTTACTGACCCATTCACCCACTGACACCGGTCACATAAGCCAGAATCAACTTATTCTGAGCTATTGTCCAGCAGGGGTCTCAAGAATTGTATGTTGAATTGAATAGACTGGAACTGGAGTCTTACCTAGTCTGTCTTCCCTTCCTTCGTGTACCTTCCTAGGATGAAAATCTTGTCCCTGACCCCTACATCTTTCAAACCAATGACTGCTATTTGCTGCCAAAACTGTCACCCTAGCAGTCTACTCATCTACTTGAAGTTTTTATTAGAGACGTCTACATGTCAACCATCCCTCTTCTCCCCCTTTGCCACAGAACCGTCTGACCTCCAAGCCCTATGCATCTCCATTATGACCCACACACTTCAGTTTCAGCATGGAAGGAATGCTTACAACATCCTGAGGGATAAAAGGTAAGTATGATGTTTTTATAAGCACATGGTAATATCTCCCTGAGTCCATATCCTGAGCTGTGTCATTTACTTAATTGAAAGAGTGATAAACCTGGGAACCTCTGATTTCTAAATTTAACTATGGTTAGTTATAATCCAGAATTAAATAAACTAACAACCTTGAAAAACCATGAGTCCCGTGATAAGAACAAAGGCCAATTCAATAAGATGCAGTTTTGATGGATATTCTGGCTCTACAAGAACAGAGACAAGAGCAGAATATGTCTTTATATTCTTTACTCAGCAAAGGTGAGAGCAGAAGCTGCATTTTGAACATCTATTCACCTCACTCGTACTTCGGTGTTGGAATTGTACAGATTCCTGGCTTATTCCATTGCAAAGTAGCTTAATCATAAAATGTCAGGGCTTGAAGGTGTCCTTCAGTGCATGTGGGCTAGTGGTGCCTCATATGTTGAGGGACGTGGACCATTCTCCAAGTTGTGGGCACACGGGCACGCACACACACACATACATTTTATGTATAATTTCAATGCTTCAAGTATTCCATGGAGGACACCCATGATCTCTCAACCATCCTTGGAAGCCCCTTAATGAAATCTTGTAATGCACTAACAAATAAGGGTGGATACCAACTATGAGGTTTACTCCCTTACAACACTGAAATGCAATAATGACACATTCATTAATTTATCAATTTCTGCAAATTAAATTGCACCTTCTTCTAGCTCCTGCACCGTGGGCTTATGGAAAAGTCCATCTCAACCTTCATTGAGCAGTTTGCCACATCCATTCCCCGGGACTATGTAAAGGTCCTAAGGTTTCACACAGTGCAGACCATCACTGGAGTTTATACTGTTTATGGCTGATGTGTTTGTTCCCAGGCTGAGGCCACAAAGCTCCTGTTGCTACGTGTGGGCAGGAAGTCTTCCCTTGTGGCTCTAGAAGCTTTCACTCCAAGTATTCTGTCACATCAGCATCCTCGAGCCACTCCAACAAAGGTATTTTTATACCTCTAGGGGAAAGGGAGGATGGTCACCATGCATGAGGATGGGGACAGTACTACTGATTCATCTTTGAAGTCCCCAAATTCCAATTCCATTGCCAGCTCCAGGGAAGAGACTGTTTCTCAATTCCTATAGGTTTTATGTCCTCTGCTCCACTTCCTGAGAGAATTCAGCATAATTTTTTTTTTCAACCGCTTTTTGTAGGACAGGAAGGCAGTGAACCTGACGAGCTGAGTTCCTGAGCTCTGGAGCCAGACTAGCTGAGTTCAAGTTCCAGCCTTAATGCTTACTAACTATGAATGCGTTGGTTTCCGAGGGCTGCCATGACAAACGACCACAAACTTGGTGACTTACAACAACTGAAATTTATTATCTCATGGTTTTGGAGGCTAGAAGTAGAAAGTCAAGATGTCACGGGGACTGATTCTTTTGGAGACTCTGAGGGAGAATCGTTTTCCTGTCTCTCTCCTAGTTTCTAGTATTTGCCAGTAATCTTCAACTTTTGCAGACATGGAAGTGTGTCCCTCCAGTCTCTGCCTCCATCCTTCTCTTCCTTTTTCTTCTTTTACAAGGACACTTATTACTCAATTTAGTCATTTGATTTAATCCAGGATGATCCCATCTAAAGATTTTAAACTTAACTACATTTGCAAAGACCATTTTTCCCAATAAAATCACATTCACAGACTCTGGGTAGACATACCTTTTGAAGGACCTCCATTCAATTCACTACTATAAAGTTAAGAATTTTTTAAACTGCATAATGTTCTCTCTGGTCCACTGTATAATAAGGAATGATGATAATACTAACAGTAAACTCCTCTATAAGTTTATTGAGGATAAAATGAACTTACACATATAAAGCACTTAAAGACTTCCTGGTAAATAATAAACACTCTTTGCTAAACAGTATTTGCTATAACGGAGAGTTAACATCTGAATAGCTCAGTTTTTGCTCTTGGGTCAATTCAAAGTCCCACTAACAAAACCCAAGACAAGAGAGTACAAAA